CAGACTGGGAATGGGATGCTGGAAAGCAGCTGTAGGAAGAGCTCCAGGTTGATGGCAAGTTGGATGTGAGTCAGCAGTGCCCTGACAGCCAGGAGAGACATCCCTGTCCTGGAGGGCATCAGGCCCAGCATCTCCAGCCAGGGAAAGGAGAGGATTGTCTTGCTCTGCTCTGCAGAGGCCTCGCCTCCAGTCCTGGGGGCAGTTTGTTCACCTCAGTATAAAAGAAGACATTAAGCCCTTAGAGAGCATCCAAAGGAGGCGACAAGGCTGGGGAAGGGTCTGGAGGAGCCATATGAGAAGCAGCTGAGGGGACTTGGTCTCTTCAGCTGGAGAAGAAGAGCCTGAGAAGAGACCTCATTGGGGTTTTCAACATCCTCATGAGAGACAGCAGAGGGGCAGCTCTGATCTCTGCTCTCTGTGACCAGGGACAGGACCCAGGAAACAAATGAAGCTGTGCCAGGGAGGGTCAGGCTGGAGCTCAGGGAAAGGTTCTTCCCCAGAGGGGCTGGCACTGCCCAGGCTCCCCAGGGAATGGGCACGGCCCCGAGGCTGCCAGAGCTCCAGGAGCGTTGGGACAGCGCTGCCAGGGGTGCCCAGGGTGGGGCTGTTGGGAGGTCTGGGCAGGGCTGGGGCTGCCCTGGATGATCCCTCTGGGTCTTTTCCCAGCTCAGGACATTCTGTGATTCTGTTCTATGGCTCTGTACACAAGTATTTTAAGTAGAGGACTTGCAATGCACCGGGGTCTGGAGCACAGTGCTCTATGTGTGCATATCCAGCTTTTATCTTTCTCTAGAAACCTTACATAAAATGACATAATAATTCCTGGCCTGGTTATTTTCTTCTACCATGTGATCCCTGGCTTAGACTGAACTGTTTCAGAGATGTTTGATCTCCATTATAGTGAAGCCACCAGCACAAGTTCATCTCTTAAATTACCCAAGCTCTTGTTGCTTCTGTCCTGCCTTGCCTAGCAAGCTTTGACAAGTAAGTTATCAGATGAATAGCTCTTCTCAAATTGGTCTGATTGAGAAAATGGGAAGCAGCTTCAAAGTACAAACGATCAATTGTCTCAAGAAACACAGGAGATCTTTGGGGGTGCTGAACCCAATTATCCATCCCTTCTTTGGATAATATTTCAAGCCAATTACTCAGAGTTTACACCAATCTGGATATGAGTTTCATCTAGTTCTAATCAACTAGAACTTTTATTCTTTGGCTTTGGTAATCTCAACTGCAGTGACTTTCACATCTGAGTTAATGCTGGGTTTATTTACATCATAGCAAACTCATTGGATGACCAGGACAAGATGCTTTGTAACCTGATATTGCACATAATTACTGCTGTCATTTAATATTAGAGGATGAAAGAAAGTTATTACTAAGTACAGAGGTTTGAGAGCTTGTTCTTCCAGGAGAAGATTTCAGCTTGGATTTAAAAAACAAAACCAAAGAAAAACAAATCTCAAAGCATGAAAATGCTGAAATTTGACTTTGCCAGGGTTTCCCATCCTTGTACTGTTCTGCTGCCCAAAAACTTACTTTCTTTTTCTTCTTATTAGTGAGCAGTACAATCATGTGAAATCTGTAACTGTCCCTTCAGATGGTCCTTCCACTAAATACTTTTGGATTATCTGCTGGTATTGGCACATCACAGAAGCAGAGAACCTTCTGCCTACTAAACCTGTGGTAGACTTGTAAACAACAGTACTTTAATTTAATTTTCTTATTTATATATTAGAAAAAATACACCTTTTAAGCCATGAGAGGAAAGTTTTCAGAATAGCAATGTTTTTCCAATAAAAACATTTGCAACTGAGATTAAAGTTTAAAAATGATTAATAAATTAGATTCTTGCACTGTACAAATGCAGCAAACCAAGGACAGCTCAGCTGCTTTCTGTCACTGGAACATGACTCCAAAAATCAAAGAGATGTTGCTGACAGAAGTCAGAGCTCATATACCCATGAAAGACGTCAAATCCTTTTCTAAGATGGTACAAGGCCATTAAAACACATGATCTGTAACAATCCACAGACTATTCAAAGGGCTTTGCAGATGATGGGTGCATACTCACCCTGGTGTGAATCAAACAGACCCCATATGTACCCAGACCCTTGTGGGGACTTTTTGTCTCAACCCATTCCCAGTGCCACCAACTGCATCTGCAGGGAGATGCTCAGGGGAAGGGGCAGGGAGGAGGTGGCACAAAGGAGTCACAGCACAAGGAGTGATGGAGGGCAGGGAGAGAGAGCCACAAGGAATTATGATGGAGAGGTTGACAAAATGGGGGGAATTGAGAGAGATCAAAAAGCATGGATATTAGGAAAAATTAGGGGGATAAAGGAAAGGCAGATAAAAACGGGGGATAAAGGAGAGTGTAAAAACACACCAGAGAGGAAAGGAAACTTGGCTGGAAAAATGGGGGAAAACAAATATCATAGAGGAAAATATTCCTGTACAGAAGAGGAGGAAGAAAAACCAAGATGTGCTAACTATGGAATAAGGAGAATAAGAAAAGGCAAAATACATTGATTTTGTTGTAACGTAAAAGAATGGAAAATAAAAAGAGACAAATAGGGAGAAAATGAAACACTGAGTGTTTCAAAGCCAAGAAAAGAGGCCCAAATGTGCTCACACACCAAATTTTTACAAGACTGGTACAGTGTATGCAAACCAGGTGTTCTGCATCACATCTGACAACCCAAACCACAGTCCACCATGATAGTGGATTTTCTTTACAAAGCAGCACAGAACAAATCCCTGGGATTTCTTTCTCTTTTAAATGAGAAAATGAATTGAATCCCATAGAAGTCTGCAATATAATGACATTTAAATTCAGGGTCTCAAGGCTGGAAGGTAAGCTAAAAACAGAATTTGTCCCTAATTTAGATAACAGCAGTGTCTGAAAAGTAGGGGGTTTGTAATGGGAAATTTAGACTAAGTTTTTATTTCAAGTAGGATAAAAAGAAAAAAAAATTCAACATGAACTTTGAAATTGCACTTTCAAAAGGAAGGCTGCTAATACTGTCAATTTCCCTGTAGATAACAGCATGTAATTCTGTAATTCAAATGCTTTCAGATGAAGGATTTGGTTGCTGTTAAAGATTTTCATATGATAAATCCCATTTTCAGAAGCTAACGTCCTAACCCTCTGAAATTCAGCTAGTTCTGCCAGTGTGCCCCATTTCAAACCCATCACCCAACAAAAGTGAAGCAGGAATGAGGGAAAAACATCTCTCAAGAACCTCAGAAATTCCTTATGTTCATGCAGGTCTGTGTCCCCCCTGCTGTTCCAGGTGTCTTCACATAGCTCCTCTGAGAAGCTGCTCCGAGCACCACTCAGCTGTTTTTCCTCATCAATTTCCTCTCCACCTGGTCCCTCAAATGTTGCTTCTCAAGCACTCACAGAAGTTCCATTCTTCCCTGATATTTCTGGTGGCTGGACCAGACATCTTTCCTTCATGCAGGAACTCTGTTGGTGGGTATTTCCCTGATATTTCTGGTGGCTGGACACATCTTTCCTTCATGCAGGAACTCTGTTGGTGGGTAGCCCCTAAGTGTCCCAAGACCCAAGCTAACATTTAGGATGCTTTTTGGAAAAAACACAGGCTGAGCACTGTGGATCTCCTTTAGCAGATGTTCTGCACTCTAAAACACTGCAACGTCATAAACTGCTAGTACCTTTAATCAGAAGTAGTAAAAAAGAAAATTAACAATTTTAGATATTTACGGAATTTTCCGGTTTGGAGGTTGTAAGGAGTGGTTCCTGCTCCAAGGCAGCAAGTCCCATGGCCCCATGTTTCCTTGCAAATTTTTCAATTCTTGTAAAGTCAGCTCGTGTTACCTTTCTATCACCTTTCTCACCTAAACTGCCACAGTCTGGCAGGCTGACTGAGAGAAACAACAAAAAAAGAGTAATAAAAAGACCTCCTAAAGAGGCATTCTTTCTACCCCAGAACAGTCCTGATGAGATCCTCAGCACTAAAAAATACAAACTTGCTCATAAGACAGAGAAATTAAAGGGGGCTGCAGTTTTATTTCATATCAGAGCTTCAACCCCTCAATTAACTTTTATTATACAACCACTCTTGAGGCTGTTAAATCAAATTTGATGATTCAGCTTCTTAAAAACCCATTGCTGCTTTGAAATTCGTCCAGTCAGAGCTTTTGGTGCCCCAGGCTGCAAACACGAGCAGTGCTGTCAGCAGCTAAAGAGCTCAGCCATTCCTTGTTCCTATCTATTCCCTTGAACAGAATTCACCCAAGTAGGCAAAAAAAGCCCAAAAAACCCCAGCCCTCATGGCACACATGACATGCACATGGCTGCAAAATGGCCAACAAAAAGTATTAATATACCATGGAGATGTATAATGTAACCCTTGAAATGATAAAGAGACATTTGATATGTCCTGAATAATCACACCCACATTCAGGTAAACTCATCTGGTCTTTGTTCATGCCTTTATCAAGCTTAAGAAAAAAAGCTTTTCCGCTGTGGCATTTTGACTTTTAGTGCCTCCACAGAACTGTCTCATTGGAGTGGAGTTAATGAAACCTCCCAGTTCTGCCCCGGCAATGGCGGAGGAGCTGCTCGTGCAGATGCCCAGCACTCACGGGGATCTTCAGGGATCTTCAGGCAGGGAACCCTGCCGCAAGGAGCCCGGAACAGCGGGGTAGAGCACAACGGATGGGGTTTCATCAGCAGGCCTTTTCCTCCCCCTGCTATCCATCCTTTTCTACCTCAGTGGCAGGAAAATCCCAGCTGCAATCGCCTCTGCCTGAAGACGGCCGCACCGGGTCTGTCCTGGTGGGTTTCAAACGGGAGGAAAAAGGAGGGGCTGAGGGTCAACCTTCCACGGGATTTTTTTACCATGAGACAGCAAAGAGAGAAGGAGGGAAAAAACCAAAAAAAAAAAGCGGGGGTGGGGGTGTCTAGGGGAGGACTGATAAAAGCAGGGATTGAAGCAGGGCAGGCTGACCAGCGGTGCTGCGCTCCGCGCTCGGGCTGGCGCGGGCGCCGCGGGCCAGCGGCAGCGCTGAGCTGCCAGGGCCCGCCCGGGCCGCGGAGCGGCGGGACGAGGCGGCGGCTCCTGGGCCTGGGCCTGGTGACCCCGACACCCTTCTGCTTCGGTAGGACCACAGCCCTGAACCTTCCCAGGGCGTTTTCCTTGCGCTCCGCTCCCCGCGCCCAGCCGATCCCCTGTGCCTGCCGCGCAGCGCCGGAGAGATTTGCCCGCCCTCACCTCAGAGCAGTCCTGCAGATCTCCCTCACGGCTCTGGCAAGCAGCAACGTTTTAAAACTCTCTTAGCTTTGTTATTTTACCATTTTGTTCTTCTGCATTTATTTGCTTTGCTTTTCTGTTCTACTCCAAAACCTTCTTTTCCAGGTACTGCCTGCGATTTAGGTTGTTTCGATTCTGTTTGGTGTTTCTGTCTCTTCAATTATTATTATTTTTTTTTGTTGCAAATTTTGCATCTTTGTATAGTCTACTTCTAAGTTTTTTTCCCCTGAAATTATTTTAGATGTTACATTATCTCTCTTCACTCTTTTATTACATGATTTTAAAATTAACGACGTACATTTCCTAAGCTGTATTTTTACACTGTTCCAATCGATTAGCTATGTTATTTTATTCCCCTAAGTGCAGTGTCTAAAATAATGACATAATGTTAAAAAAAAAAAAAAAAACAACTCTATTTCCTCGAAGCTTTCATAACTCCAGAAAGATGCGGGATTGGATTTTATCTATTTTAGGACTGATAATATTTGTCTTTGAACATCAGACTGTAATTACTTTTCTGACTTGCCCTGTCAGCTTTTACTGTAGCACCTCACAAAACGAATCCTACATTTTACATATCCAATTGTCCAGTCTTCCATTGGTATTCTTAATATTCTTTAATTTTGTACGAGTTCAGCAAGCAATGGTTTCTTTACACAGTTAACAAGATACAAAATTCAGAGATCATTTCTGTTTGCAGCACCAGAATTTTTCTTTTCAACATCAATTTCTATTCGATTCTAGCAATTTTTTAGACCCTGCGGTCACTGGAAAACGAACAATTTTATTGGTAATTTCATTGCGGTTGTTATTTTCCAAAAAGGACTAATTTCTTTCTGTTGTCCAGATTGTTCTCTACTTTTTCCTGCTTTATTTCTCCATCTTTACAGCTCTCTCTGCTGCCTGTCAGCCACACCACGCAGGCAGAGGAGAGCTCACTGTGTTCTAAAGTGCCATTGGTGCTGTGCCTGGAGATTTTGGAGTTTCTGGGCATCTTCTTAATGTGAGAAAGGCTCTGACCAGGGCAGGGAAAGTCCTGCAGAGGCATCACTGGACTGTCCCGCTGCCTGCCCCTTTAAAATTCCAGGCATTTTGTTTGGATAGGCTGAAGTCTCTCATTTTTGACACTTTAATCAATCTTTTTCAGAAGGGTCTTTTGCAGTTTATTAGGGCTGCAGGGGGATTTTTTGTTGTTTTGTTTTCGTGGTGGTTTGGAGCCTTTTTTGTTGTTGTTTTTAGTTGGGTTTAGTTTTTCTTTGGTTATTTGTTCTGGTATGGGGTTTTTTTTCCCGAGAACATCCCCTATTTGCTTTACAAATATCAGAGTTTCACTTCCCGATGCATTTGCCATTTGCTTCACAGAACAATTATTTTTTTCCCTACTGAAGCAGGCTCAGAAAGCTTTCACAGCATTCTAGTCCAAATGCAAAAACACACAAACAACAAAGTGCTTTCTCTCATTATCTTTCTTTTTTCTTGTACATAAAAAACCCCAATTCACTGAAAACTAAAGCATTTTGCTGGCTTAACTATAATTTTTTTTTCTTTAGCAATCCTTTCAGTATGTTACACACAGACACAGAAGTAAAGATACACATTAATCAGTATTTTGCAGACTGAACACCTACTAAAACCCTTGAATAAATAATTAACACCTTATTAATTAAGTGTGCATGCTCATGGAGGATATTTGTGTAGAATAAATATTAATTCATTTTTAAAATATTAATAATATTCTTTAAAAAACATATTTAATGGAAAAAACCAACATAAGTGGAATAGTCATATTTTTTTCTTTCAAATCAGACAATTCGTCTTCAAATTTCTTTACTTGAGTGGTTAAACTTTTATTTAATTTGCAACAAGTATATTGAATTTGAGTGGTTAGGAAAGAGAAGGCAGCACTCTCTGCAGGGAGCACTCACTACACCTTTTTCATTTGCTTCTCTCTGCATTTTGAAATGCTCATGCCATTAAAAAGCATCCTGGGATAATGAGAAAGAAATTACATTCCAAATAGTATTGAATTAAGGATTGTGAATCCGTTCAGCAGGATAACTTTAACTGTTTAGCAAAATATGAAGCAAGGGTTTTGCCCTGACAATAGAAATATCCCAGTTAAAAATGTCTGGGCGTGCCCATCAGCCTCTTTGTATCTCCCTGCAGAGCAAAATTTTAAATTAATTTTGCCACGAACTTTTCAAAAGTTCCCTTGACTGAGGCGATTTCTGCACCGGTGGAAAGCAGCCCTGGGAAGGGGAGCTGTGCTCGGAGCAGCTGCAGGTCCCAGAGCCAGCTGCTGGTGGCAGCAGGGACGTTCTTTTAGGGGAACACTCTGGGAAGGCTCAGCTGACAGAGACATCCATGTTTTGTGTGGGTGGAAATGTATTTGCTTGAAAGAAAAATTCAGAAAGTGGCCAATTCCCAGTGGGCTATAGTGAATCATCAGATTTAACATATGTTACCACACATATATATACACACACAGACATAATGTAATAATATATATTATTTTTATACATAATAATTATAGACATTATTTTATATATATAATATCTATGCATCTATGATTTAATATTTACACTGAGCTATTAATAATTTATATGTTGAATTTCAAGGCTTGTTCTTTCAGTATATTCGTAAGATTTTGAAATGGACTGCTTCAATAGGTCTGATTCAATACCTGACACAGTGGAGGTAACTGTTATTTTCCATGACCTAAAGCTGTTTTTGGAGATATTAAAATGTAAGATATAAAAAAAACCAACAAACCAACAAAAACCAAACCCCCCCCCCCAAAACCACCAAAAACAAAACAAAAAAGTGAACACCACAAACAAAAAAAATTTTAAAAAACCCACTTGGAAATAAGTAAGTACAGAGCTAGGTCAAGTTGGTAGGAAAACTGGAATGCCGTAAGTGTAAAAGCAACATCTTTGTTTTCATGATTGTATGAGTCCCCAAAATTCCAGAGTTGAAGTGAACATCCACACTTCGGCACAGCTTCAGACTAGTAAGATGATAAATAAAACTGAAGTTCTGGTCATTAGCCCATAACACAAACAGCGATGTAATATCCATCAATTTTTTCTTAGAAGCTGTACTTTTTAGGAAAAAAAAAAAACTTAAAAATCAGTTTTCTGTAGTAGAAAAGCCAAAGCTAGAAGTTCTAAAGTATAGTTGTTACTGAACCAGAATGGTCCAAATCCTGGAAAAATTTTGGACCTGGCTTCTTCTGGCAGCTTCATCCCATTAGAGCTTTGTCATCTTGCTTGAAAACTCATTTTTCACCCCATTCCCATCCAATCCTGCCAAGCACTTTCAGGAACTGAGACACCCTCCATTTTCCCTTTGGATTCCAGGAATTGAGCTCTGAGTCTCTTTTTAGACATAAACATTTTCAATTTCTTTGGTTTGTCCAAGCGCTTTCCAATAAATGAGTGGTGTATTTGGAGTGCCTTCCAGACCACACCAGTCTCAAATGAATATCCCCCCTCCTACTGAAGTTGCTCCCATTTTCCCATTTGAGAGCTCCATTTGCAATTTGACAGCCCTTTTCCACATCAATCCCAAACCCTTTTGCATTCCTGCTTCCCAGAACAGCATTTCTCAAATGCACAACACACATTTTTTTCCTTGGGTGTTTGTCCATCGTTACTTTGTTCTTAGAATGTTTGTTATTTTCCTGTGGGCAGTTCATCCATTAATATGCCACTTGCAGAAATTTGTCTTCATCCTTACTTCCCACTTATGGGCTACACATGGATTTCCCTCCTCCCGTGGAAAAGCTGTGCCTCACAGAGCTTTGTAGGCAGTCCAGATCTCTCACTGATCTTGCACAGATACCCATGATTGCTCCAATGTCTTCCTTCCATATGGGACACAACATCTGCCTGATCCCAGGATTTTCCACACACACACACAAGAGCAATGCAAATAACCTTATTCTTGCTTTCTTTTCCCTCATTGCTAGTGGAGGCACATGAGCAGATAAAGTTTGCAGCTACTCTATGTGAATCCAGTGGCTCTGAGTGTTCTTAAATGTCTGTGCCACAGTCATTCTAACACAACCTTGCCAGGATGTGGAACGAGTGTCCAGAAAACTCTCTTTCTTCCCATCAGCAGCCAGAAAGGTCTCCCCTCCCTGTCACTCAGCACTCTCAGCTGGGACAGGCCAACATGTGTCACCAATATGCAAGTGGTGCCCTCAAGAAGAAATTGTGTTTACAAACCAAGATTAATTTGAGTCAGACTCTCTCGTTGAGGTTGTCAAGGACATAGGCAGGGATAAAAGTAGGATATTTAGAAATCCCATTACACATAGAACACAAATGAAAGACTTTTACTATTCTCTTTTAAATTTAATCCCTCAGTCACTGCCCCTTCAAGTTTTCTTTCAGCAGGTGTGTCTGCCATAAGCTAAGCAGAAATTCCTCCCTTCTCTATGGATCCAAGGGAAGCAGGGAGGCCCTGGGGGGCTCTGCCCCAGCATCCTGATCCCAGGGTACAGCTGTGCTGTATCAGAGCCAGCCCCATGACCTGGAGCAGGGAAGAAACACCCAGCAATAGGACATCCTGGATGGATCACCACGGGCAGCACAGCTGCACCCCATCTCCTGGGCATGTGGTGCACAGTGGGAACCTCTGCCAACAGCACAGCTCCTGCTCCTCACTCTGCTTCCATCCTCAGCAAATAGGTATCACATGGGCCTCGGCACCTCTCCCAGCTCTATCCTCTGACTGTCAAGCAAGTGGCTTAAAACTTGATCAGTGGGAGCAGCCAGACAGCAAATTCATTCTGTTTTTACCACCAGATATAAACTGACCATTAGTCAGAAATAGTTATCA